ACAAACCCTCACCCAAACCCTTGCAGTCACCACCATGGGGCGTCCCGACTCTCCACCTTGGTGGGTGGAAGGAGGAGCCAGCCGCTGGCATAAAACTCAGGGAAAACAGGGAGCCCCAGGATGTGCAGGTCACTGCGGCCCTGAGGCTTGCCCGTCTGTGCCCCTGGCTGCCCGGTCTCTGGAAACGGCGGGGGGGTGTCACTGCGAGTCCTCCTGCCAGGACAGCATGGTCACCACTGTGCTGTGTGGTCTCGCCAGCCCCGGTGCCCCGGGCAGGCCAGGCTGCGAGGAACCAGGGGTGCCCGGCCGGCCCCGCCCAGCATGCCTTCACGCCAGAGGTGCACGGCCGTTCTCTCATCGCCCCCAGCGCACCCGGGTGCATGCGGCTTTTGCTCACCCCCTCGCCACCCCCAGACCGCCCAGGGCGGGCGACTCTCTATCGTCCCAGACGGACAGTGCTCCATGACAGCCCCGCCCGCCACCACCAGGTCACGCGTGCAGCTCACAGGCGGACACGCACCCGTCCCTCCCTGCCCGTGCCCCTGGCTCCTGCCAAAGTCGTGGACCAGGAAACACCGGCTCCCCGGGGCACGCTCAGGGTGGCCTCGTCCGAAGGGTGTCAGCAGAGCACCGTCACAGACCACACGTCCCGAAGCCCAGAGCCCAGCCATCCATCCCGGGCAAGGGACCCACATGCGTTTCCTTCAAGACAGACTGCAAGTTGTGTGTATAAAGGCCATCGCCCCCACTTTCAAAGGACCCACAGTAAGTCCCCGACATAGGACGGGTTCTGTTCCGAGAGTGCGTTCCTAAGTCCAGTGTGTTCGCAAGTCCAACAAAGCCAGCTGGGTGCCCAACCAACACCCATCGGCTCTATGGCGCTGCACCGGGACAGGTTTATAATTCTTTCCACATAAATGACTGCAGCAAACAGTCCTATCCAGTAAAGCGCACCAAAGCCCAGCCCCTTGTAGAGGACGCACACACACAGCAATGTACACCAGACACGTGAGGACATGGAACACACGCTCACGTCTTTGGGAGTTCGCAACTTGAAAGTTCGTATGTAGGGGACTCACCTCTGACACGTGTTCCCGTTTTGCAGGATGAAGACGGAGCCGGCCGGATTTCCACATAGATCCAGAATCCGACGTCCTCCAGGCCCGTCCAAGCTGCCATCGACTCTGGGCTCCCACAACAGCCCCCAGCCCTTCTCCCCACCCTGCCTGGCCTCCATGCCCCAGAGAGTGCCTGGAGATCCACAGAGCACTCCGAGTGTGCGGGACCCCCTCTGAGCTTCCTCGCTGGGTGTCAAGGCCAAGGTCCCGACAGAGCTGCACAGGCCCCAACCCCCTCCCCACCGGGGCCATTCTGCTCCAGC